GGCGGCTGCCCCTGCCCCCTGCCCGCCCCCGCGGCCCCGGGCGGTCGGAAGGAGGGCTCGGAGCCAAGTCAAGGGTCGCGGCTGTTCGGCAAACGGCGCCCGGCCCCGTGAGCCGGGCTGGGCAGGACATGGCGCGGGTGGCTGCTCCTGGGATTTATCTGCTTGGTGGAGGGAGCTGCTGTGGGGCCTTGATAAAGGAGCCGCTGCTCTCCCGGCTCTGTTGGTGAGCAGGAATTGGGTCCGAGCTGGGTTATCACAGCGGTGAGTCACAGCTGGGTTGGATTCATCCTTCCTGAACCTCTGCCTCCCCAGGCAAAGTTGTCTGCGGGCGGCTTCTGCGTCTTTGAAGGGATGTTTGTTCTTCCACGCCGCTGGAAGTGGGGGAGGAAGCTGTGCATAAGCCATTAATGCTGTCTCAATCCAAGAGTTTTACATAGGTCTGTGTGTCTACTTGTAAGCAAACTTTCTGGGAAGACTTTGCCTCTGTCTTCAGAGGGTATTGACAAACTGAACCCCCCAGCCTCCTTAATAAGATAACATCCTTTCAATCACACTTCTGCCTACTGGGTTTATGAAACTATTCAATGAGGTATTTTCTGTATTTTAATTAATCATACATTCCTAAGTATGTGTAGAAGACGATCCCTTATAAGATTACATGAGCTTATTTTAAAGCCACTGATAGCTAATTATCCTTGTTCTTGTGTTGTCACTGCCTTACTTGCTGACTTGAATGCAATGTTTATTTACAGTGCCCGTGGGGAGCCCCTAACACAACATCAATATCATGTTCCCTTGCTGATGTCATGAGTGAACAGCTGGCGAAAGAGCTACAGCTGGAAGAAGAAAATGCTGCTTTTCCTGAAGTGGTTGCGTAAGTTTAAATCCTGGATTAGTGATCTCCATAGTTGTGAAGCCATCTTCTGTCTCGTGTGTGTTTTCTTACAAGGTGCTTAATTTGTAGTGATACAGGAAATGCTTTGCCTGTTACCTCCTAACTCTCCTTCTTCAGGTCTCTTTCAGTGAAGATGGCTTGGGCAGTTAAAACTTTTCATTTGATTTTCTTCTCTGTCACCCTTCCTCCTTTTTTGAACTTTTCTTTGCATGTTTTTTGGTGCTTTGAGCCAGTCTGTGACCTATGTAAAGTTTTCAGAAGTGTTTTTTTTCTTCCCTTTTAGAGGCTCTTTTTTAAGTGTGTAGAACGTTACTTCAGGAACTGTCAGGTGTATCACCTGTATCATCCTAATACTTCAAAGCTCTAAACATAGGCCAAGACCAATTTTGCCTGTGGTCTTTTCTGTCAAGCAAAGCAAAGCAACACTGGTTGGTTTTGTTGGTTTCTTTTCAAATTATTTCTTAAATAATATTTATTTAAAAAAATTAAAAATAGATATACACATGACATAACATCTCTATGCCTTCTTTCTCTTTTCATGAAGGGCATTGTAAAAATACAGTCTAATGCTTCTTACAGAATGGCAAACAAGTAGAAAGTTTTAATATTTGTAAAGGACTGGTGAAGAGAAGTTGGCTGTGTTAATATTTAGTGTTGGCTTGGAGGGGACAGAGAGTTGAGCTTTCTCAGTTTCTGTGCAGCTGTGCATGAGGTCCTTTGTAGAAAGTGATGAAATGGTATAAAGCAGTTTTTCTATTTAGATTACTGTGTTTATTTTTTTTAAAATTTCTGTCTTCTTTTTACATAGTGTTGCTGAAGGACCATTTATTACAGGAGAAAGTGTTGACACTTCGAGTGACCTAATGCTAGCTCAGATGCTGCAGATGGAATTTGACAGGGAATATGATGCACAGCTTCGGCGTGAGGAGAAGAAGATCAATGGAGATAGCAAAGGTACCCTGGTCAGAAGACTTATTCTTGCTTTGGAGATTTTCTTGGCACTCTGCTCAAGTTGGCAGAGGTGTGAGGAAGTAACAAATCTCTTGATAATCACAGGCATGCTTATTTGTTTTGTTTCTCAAGTCTCCATATCCTTTGAAAATTATCGCAAGGTGCATCCCTATGACAGTGACAGCTCAGAGGATGAGGTTGATTGGCAGGATACCCGTCATGATCCTTACAGAGCAGGTATGGGGTAGTTTAAACGATACAGTTTATTTGGTTAATAGATCTAAGAATATGACACAGCTAAATTTGTTTGGGTTTTTTTTTGTTTGTTGGTTTGGTTTTTTTCCATGTCAGGAGACATACCAGTTGTGTGTAAAATCAGGTCACCTAATTGAGAGGTGTTATTCAGGAAGTTGGGCGAGTAACTTCAGGCTTCTGTCTGCCAGTATACTGGCTTCAGTGGCTGAATATGGTAAAAGAACTTGTGCATGGGAAGTATTGTGGGTTTGACATATCTGTCATCTACAGTTGGCTAGGGGCATCTGCACATGGTGTCGATTGTTCCTGTCTTTAATACACGGAAAGTGTGTCTGACACCACCGAGAAGTCAGTCATAACATAGCAAAAGAAGCTGTCATGTTTAGCATAAGAGAAGAATGCATTAAGATCATATGACTGAAGCCTTTTATTCTGTTTAATAAATAAAAATTATGTTTCTCCTGTGGGCATTGTGAGCCTGAGTTTTGTTTGTTTAGATGAAAAGTTTAATTTAATTTTCCCACTGCTGGCAGATAAGCCTACCACTACACCAAGAAAGGGTTTCATTGGAAAAGGAAAAGACATTACTACTAAACATGATGAAGTGGTATGTGGAAGAAAAAACACTGCTCGCATGGAAAATGTAAGTGAAAACTTAGGGAAACTCAGATGTGTATAACTGGAGTGCTGTAATGTAACCAAAGAGAGAATGCTTGTCCCTTTGTGTTACTGTACACAGTCCCAATTTGTTTATTCCAATTGGATGAGAGCAATGCAGTGTTTGGATTAGTTACTCAGATTGGCAGTTTGAATTGTATAGGGTTTTTGTTTAATACATTTGCTAATGACCATGAATTAAGAACTTTCACAGAACTTTTTTGGCAAAACAAAACTATTGTCAGGTTTGGTCCACAGGCAAATAAAACACCAAGACTTTTCAAAAAGCATAACTATCATATAACCTAATTTTAAAATATTATTATTAATTTTGCATGATGAGCCCAGTAATGTATTTGCAGTCAGTTCGACTTGCAGCTTTTCGGTCTGTTTATCCTTAGTACATACCTTTCCTTTTCTTCAATGTAACTGGTACAACTTCTGCAAATGAAGAAATGCTGCAAGTACTATTTTTACAGGATGTTAGGTAATCTCATATCAGTTTGGGCAGAACCTCAAGTTCTGAGTTTAGAGCAACATCTTTAACATAGTGACACTATTACACAAAGTGGGTTTCACATTGCTCCTAATCTACCCTTTATTTTGTTTTTGCAAATCAAAATGGCAAACTTCTGCTTAAGCAAACTTTTGGTGTCTGCTACTGACAATGCTTACATTTCTGTTGTTGTTACTTGTAGTTTGCACCTGAATTCCAAGTTGGGGATGGAATTGGGATGGACTTAAAGCTGTCAAATCAAGTCTTCAATGCCTTAAAGCAGCATGCGTACTCCGAGGAACGTCGGAGTGCAAGACTCCATGAAAAGAAGGAGCACTCTACTGCTGTATGTTTTTAATAAAATCTTTCTGAGTAGTTTTTATCTTGGGTAACAGGTGAGCACTGTTTTGGTAATCCCTTGAGACATTCCATTTTTAACAAAACAGTTAAGCAGTATTGCTTCAGCACCACTGAAGAAGATGGTATTGGAGAGCTCCTACAAGGAAAACGCTGCCTTTATTTGAGCTGCAATACTCAGAGAGCAATATCAAAATAAGAGCAAGCAGCTTCCTTTTTTTTCTTTCTGCCTAGTTGAACACACATGATATATAAGTACTCTAAACTCAGTGTAAAGCTAGGAGTTATTTTAATGACCTGAGTATTTATTTCTTGCCCGTAGGAGAAAGCAGTGGATCCTAAAACACGTTTGCTTCTGTACAAGATGGTCAATGCTGGGATGCTGGAGACCATCACAGGCTGCATCAGCACAGGAAAAGAATCTGTTGTTTTTCATGCATATGGAGGAAAGTAAGTATATTGTTTGTTCCTGATGGTAGGTTTAAGTACCAGAAATGTTTTAAGAAGCAGAAACCATCTGCATTTTTTCATTCCCAACATTTAAAGTTTGTGTTCGTGTATATGCAGTTGATAATAAAATCTGGAAGCAACATGGTACCGATCCTCAAATGAAAAAAAAAACCACCCTGTTTTGTCCTTGGAGACCATTTAATGAATGGGGACAAATTAATTGTCACTTTCCATGGAGAAACATGTACACCTTTTTTTTTAATGTATTTTTTAATTTTATTTTTTAGAAAAGAAGTTTTGAGAGTTTAAGGTATTCTTTCCACTACCCTACCTCAACCTGTAGAGCTGTTGTGATGCTCCTAGGCTACCTTAAGATTCTTTCCATGCAGGTTGCTGTATTATCAGCTCCATTTCTGCAGCTCAGTGGAGGTGCTGTTAGATACTTTTGGGTTACCTCGAGAATAGTGTCAGGATGATGTCCACTCTTCAAGTCAAGCAAGAATCCAGTGTTAAAGACTACTATGCTGGAAGTATTGCAGTATGCTAGTAGTGCATTGAATCACCACTAGTTTGAAGTGAGTCAAGAAAGAACTAATAAAACCTAAATATGGGTAACCTATTTTGAGATGTTGAGAGAGAGCTAAGTTGAGTGTGGGGAGAAAATATGCCAGTTTTTAGTTTGTTTTAAATTGACCTTTGTTTGAATTATATTCAGGAGTGTATTTGCTAACTGTTATTCAATGGGCAATATCTTTGTGGTGCTTAGCAAAAGATGATGATGATACCATTATTATTCTCATGCAGAAATTGTAATGGTAAACTTGTAATTTCTTGAAACAAGTAAATCCATTAACAAGGCTGTTAGTAGCTACAACATTTAAATAAAATTAGGAGATGGAGCCTATTTGCTAAGCAACATATAATCAAAATGCCAAAACTCAAACATGCATATATAAGCCTCATTATAAAACTTGCATAAATGTAACTGGAATTGGCTTCCAGATTTGATAGAAAATAGGATAATTTACTCTCATATTAAAAATCACTCTATCTTGTGATCTTTGGAAAAAAGAAACAACCAAAACCCAAAGCCATGTATTTGGTTCTGAAGATGCGAATAGTTAACTTTGTTATGTATTTGACTTTTTCCATGGGAAGTGTACCTGAAGATAAAGTTATACCTCCAGAATGTGCCATCAAAGTGTTTAAAACAACTCTTAATGAATTCAAGAACCGTGACAAGTACATTAAGGATGACTACAGATTTAAAGATCGCTTCAGTAAATTGAACCCACGGAAGATTATTCGCATGTGGGCTGAGAAAGAAATGCATAACTTAACAAGGTAAAGAAAAAAAAGGTGTCATTGCCAAGTGCCTGTTGGTTTCCTATACTCTCTTTAGGAAGTTACACTATATCTGGGTAGAAGTTTAGATTTGATTTGTAGGCTAAATAATATACAATGTGGCACAGATTGAGTAAGTCTTCTTTCTTACATTTTAGTGAATTGTCAGTGTCAGCAGTGATTTGGCAGCAGAATTTACAAGCTGATGTAATTAACAGGGTTTCCAGTGAGCATTTTTCGGCCCACTTACGACTTTAAGATCTGACTTTGCCTAAGTGAAATACTGTGAAATACTCAGTTTTAAGTCTGGTCTGTTTCAAAGACATTTAACTCTGGATCAAGTTTCTCTCACACAGCTCTCTCAGATTCGAAATGAGCAAGCAGGAACTAGAATTGTAGGGGTTTTGTTTTGTTTTTCATAATCAGTATTTATTTTCTAATCCACAGAATGCAAAATGCAGGAATTCCTTGTCCTCAAGTTGTTATCCTTAAGAAACACGTCTTGGTTATGTCTTTCATTGGCCAGGATCAAGTCCCAGCTCCTAAACTAAAGGATGTAACACTTAGTAGTGAAGATATGAAAAAGGCCTACTGTCAGATTCTTAACGTAAGACCATGCTGATTTCTCCTCCAATTCTGCGTTGTGTTTTCTTTTAGGGGAATAACTTAAAGGACAAATCAGCATTTATTTACTTTTCAGGATGCTTGCATCACTTTCAAGATACGGAGTCCAAAGGCTTATTTTGATTCTGTTTAATGTGTGGCTTAGAATAAATAAGAAATTATGCATTAAAAAATAAGAAATTTACTCTTAATCTGAGCAGAAAATCTTCTGGAACTTGATGACATATTTAACAGCAGGGAAATTATGAGCAACTAGTCCTCTGTATGTAGAAGCAGTATGTGGTTTAGAAAGCTCTCTGAAGACTTTCTGGCCTTACTGAATACTTCATTTACAATGTGTAAGCACCCTCCAGTGCATAGCCCCTCTCCACCCCCATTTTTAACAACTCTAGAAATCAGAGAATGAATCAGAACATTGCATGGTGGAGACTTTACTTTCCTGTGATCTGCTGTAATTGGTTTAAATGTGTGTGCCAACTGTCCACTCGCTATTAGCTTCTTATAGACATAAAAAAACCCAACAAAACAAACAAACAAAAAAACCCAAAAACCAAATGCAAGCAACCCTGCAGCTTGATAATAGGAATGGTCTGTGTCTCAAATCTTGAGACCAGTAGAACAACAGAACAGTATTTTGAGTTAATATGCATTCTGGTTAGGAGTTATTATCTGAAACTCTGAGACTTCTTTCCTGTGTGACAGGGGTGAGAATAACAGGTATACTTAGAGAATGTGTTTGTCTCATGCACTTGGACTGTTTGGCAAAGCTGACATGAGTTTACCAAACTGATTCTTTTGACTCACCAAAGCTAAGGTGGGTGACAAAAGTGTAGTTTGCTGGCAGTTTGCCAGAACTGTGATTCCCTGTATGGAACATTACTGAAGACTTGGAAAAACATGATTTAAAATGGGTGGTTGACTGAGGAAAGGCTTTGTTACAGTAATGTGAACAATATTTATTTGGAGTATATAACATTTAATTAATATATTAATTTGCTTCCTTACAGATGATGCAACAGTTGTATAAGGACTGTAACCTGGTCCATGCAGATCTGAGTGAATACAACATGCTTTGGCATGATGGGAAGGTGAGCGTATTCTTCATGTGGGAAGGAACAGTTTAATCTCATGTCAAATGTTAATACAAAGTGAATTGCCATCTCTCTTTGTGACTACAGGTCTGGCTTATTGATGTTAGTCAGTCTGTGGAGCCAACCCATCCTCATGGACTTGAGTTTTTGTTCAGAGACTGTAGGAACGTTTCACAGGTAGGACCTCTTAATCTGACAATCCTCTGTTATGCTGAATATTTTCCAAGACAAAACCAATTCAGAGCTGACTAAAAATCAACCAGTACAACTCTAAAAAATTATCACCACCACTTAACTATAAGATTACTCTTGCATATTGTCCATACTGATGTTCTCCAACAGGGAAATATTGTGGAAGACTAAAATGGTACCACTGGAATGTAAAACTTCTTTCAGTTATTTTTATCTGTAAATCAATACAAGCAAAAATGTCGTTTGACTAAATATTATAATTGTCACTTGGGGAAAGAAAAGGAATATTTTGTTTTGTGTAGTGAAGTGTTTAATGTGTGGGTTTTTTTATATTGATTAGTTCTTCCAGAAAGGAGGTGTGACAGAAGCACTTAATGAGCGTGAACTCTTCAATGCTGTCTCAGGTTTAAATATTACAGCTGATAACGAAGTAGACTTCCAAGCAGAGGTATAGCTTTCTCTACATCTAACGTTTTGATTTGGTTATCTATAGTAGCTACTGTAGTACCTTAGCTTTACGCATTTAGTTTGTATGATTAGTGGGTGTGAGTATAATTTCAGCAATCATTCTGCATCTTTTTTTAAACTTGATGATTTCAACATAGTAAAAAAGGTTTTTAAAACTCTTATCAACAGGCTTCTCCATCTCCTTTCCTGATCTCCTTGCTCCCAAGTCTAAAAGTCTTTATGTTGCTTGTAATTTCTTCTTTTGGTGTTAAGGGAAATATAGTGATCTGTTTTAGATTAAAAGCTAGCTTAGTTAAAGGTTGTGCAGTGCAAGGAAAATTGATTTTTTTAAAAAATAAGGTTGTGTTCTACTGATTTGTTTTTTGTTTATTAGATTTTAACTTACTCAAATTTAAAGTTTAGCATTTTCAAGCTTAAGATCATGTTAGTGTAAATACTGTCTCGGAATCTGTGGTCAGCCTTGTCTTTGAATTTTCAAACTTCAGCTGTAGCTCCTCAAGGCTTGCATGCTGACATTTATAAAAATAAGTTTTCAAAAAAATCCATATTCACTATTTAAAGTAAAGGCTGCATGGTAATTCTTCTTGATTCCTAATGACAGTGTAGGTTTACACTCATGCAGCATGTAATATGTGGAGAAATGAAATTAGTTCACTCCTGGGGTAGCTCCTCAGAGTGAGGAAGAGGTAAAGGGAACACAATGTCACTGTTCAAGATCCTTCTGTATCGGTTAATCAAGCAAAACCCAGTTCCCTCACTGGGTGCATTGTGAACATTGTGGTTGCTTTACGTCATCTTCTTTGCTTAGAAGTTTTATGGGAAAGACTTGCATTGCTGTTTGCATAGAGGTGAATTTGACCAGCCCATCCTTTTAACTTCAGACCTTGACTTCAGTTGCTAGTAACTAAAACTGTCTTTCCTGGAATACAAGAGAAAGTAATCCAAACATAACAATCTGAAATAATCTAGTGTACTCTGTTACTTTAATAGCACAAAACATTTAAGTATAACTGTTTTCAGCTTTCAGCATTTAAAATTATTGCAGTGGATTTGTAATCTTAGTATTACATGGAATTTCTGTCATGCTGGTACATTGGCTGAGTTACAGTAGGAGTGTTCAGATTTGGACAAAGGGACACTTCTGTGTTATGGGAAGGATGGCTGTTTTCTTAAGAATCATCCAGTCCTCCCTGCAACTCATGCATTTCAGTTATGTGGCATGAAACTATAATGGAGTGCTACTGGTTTTATGAACTTGTTGAGAACAGGTGTTTCAGGCTATTGCTGGAAGCAAAGTGTGTTGCTCCCTATGTGTGACTGAATCGTTGAAATAGGAATATTGTGTATACCTGACCAGTAATCCAAAGCTACGTTATAGCAGTGCTTAAAAACATTTGTGTGCTGGTGTGGTTTTAGGATTTCAGCTTGGATTTATTTTTTGCTCTCTAGATTGAAGCTTTGGAGAAGATGAATGAAGATCACGTGCAGAATCATGGAAAGAAACTGTCAGTGTTTTCAAGCGATGGAGACCCACCTATATATGATGAATAGCACTGAGTGTATAGCTGCTAACAAATAGAAACACAAATTTACTGCCTCTAACTGTGTTGGTGCAGTGGTAAATGTCAACTGCCAATGTCAAGAGAGAGTGGTTGACTGGGAATACCAAAGTGGGAAACATGGTGAGCAGTCAGTGATGCCTCAGTGTTGGTTTTTTGCTTTATTTTTTTTAACCCAGACATCAGGCTGGCACTGTGAGAATGGACTGTCACTACCTCTTCAGATGTTCTGACAACTTCACCAGTCACTCAGTTATGTTAGACAAATGTAGCTGAGGTGGTCATATTTTGCATGATTCAGAGCTTTTATGTTTTAGTTTAAAAATGAAAAAAATAAAAATAGAGATTGTCTAAAGTATGTAGTGGGAAAGCATACTAGGAGAGCCCTTCTTTTTTTCCTATTGCTGCCTGAAAAACTAATTAAAAATTGTGTATGGACACAATGTCAATGAATCTTTCATCTTCCACCAAGAGCAAACTGAAGTAAAATTATGTGCTGCAGTCATACGAAAGTTAATTTAACAAACCCATGTCTTCATATATGCAAAAGTTTGGACCTTTTTTTTTTTTTGAAGTACATGGAATGTGGCTATAACTGTCTCTATAAATACAATTGGTTATTACAAGAGAAACAGATTGGAATCCAGCCAGCTGAGGACTTCTTTGGCCAGGAAATCCTGGGAGCGGTGTTCAGGTTGCGTAACAGAGTAAGTTCAGTTAGCATCACTCTTAATATACAAGTGGTATCAAGATCTCAGAGGAAGAAAAAAGAATTAAAAAAAATATCTGTAATAATCTTGTCTAAACTGAAATTCTGGGTAGAGCATCAAAGCTTAACCCAAAGATAGTTATAGAGTATGAAAACAAAATATTGGTCATAATTTTTTTAAGGGAAACTTGTTGCTTACTAAAAATACTCAAATTTGTCTTTTCTCATGCTTTTATTCTTTATATCAGTTTTTATTTTAGCAAGTTCTAAAAACCTAGCACTGTTTCTTTCCAAAACACTTGCAAAGATGAACAGATGTAGTGGAATGGTCTGGAATGAAGAAATTCTGATTGACTTCTTTTTATCTCTTAAGTGCTGTTTATGGTGCTGCTCTTCATCAGGCAGAATATGGTGTTGCTACACGTGACATTCTCACAGTGTGCTGTGGAAGTGATATTTTTTAAATGATTTGTTGCTGTTGGAAAACTGGTGGTGAAGTAAAAACTTACGATCTTGCAGTGGTATTCTCGTGTGGTTCTTTGCATCATGCAGGCCTTTACTGATCAACAGTGCTGCATTAATGCAGAGTTAGGGTGTTAGTTTGTTGTCAGAGAAGGGCTGTTTTGGTGGGTACAACATGAGACAGTGAACGACCTTGATGTTTTTGCCAATTTCATCTCAGTACTTGGATTCTCTTCTTTCTTTAAATTAGTCTTTCATCCTGCATATACCCCTTCACGTTGAAATGAAGGACCTTATGTCTTTTGTGGGAGACTGAAGTCTGTTCCTAATTGCTCAGTGAAATGGTTACCCAAAATAATGATGTGTGGGAGGGAACAGACTAGATAGTGAAGGGGAGGTGCTACAGATAGCTGAGCTTGTCAGGAAGACTGAAAGCTTTTGTTGTCAAGTATAACCAAATCTTCCTCAAAGCATTCAGAGGAGAAGGCCTGTTAAAAGAAAAGCATACGCCTATTCTAGGCTTATCACAAATTTCAATGCTTAATTCTTCTGTAAGAAATGTTCACCTAAAAGCAGTTCCTAATACCGTATGATGAGCTTGACTAGCAAAAATGGTGATTGTTAAGGATATTTGCATCAATGAGGGGAAGAGAGAGAGCAGAAATAAGGCCAAGTGAGGGGAGAGTGTTTTTTTGAGCTGTAATTTCTAACAGAGAAGCCTGCTTGTACCATTGTGCTTTAATGGAGGCCTCGGGTGCTACTGTAATTTTCAGTTTCTTTCTAAGATAGTGTACAAACCCCCAAAAACTCTCAAATAAATGCAGCAGTGGTCCTCAAGTCCATGATGTGAAGATACTGGTCCCATCTTTTCACTTCCAGCACCAAAATTGGCTCAGGAATTTGGTTTGAGACTGTAACACCTCTGGGCAAGGAAAACAAGGAAAAAGCAAGCATTTTCCTGGACTCCTGTGAAATAAAGGTTCTAGGATTATTATTAAGCAAATGGAGTATCTTAGAAGTAAATCGTATTTTCCATTGTTAATTAAGCCATTGGCTAATTAACTTTTCTGACATTGTGACTCTTCTAATGGCCAATTCTAGAACTATCACAATAGTTTTGAGTTGTGTGTTCGTATCCTGGTCTTGTTGTTTTCCTGTGCCCGTGTATCTCAGTTTCTACTGTTGGAATATTCTTGTTGCAACTGTAGAAGGCACGGGCTGTACTGCAGGGAAGTAGTAGAAGGTTAAACATCAGTAGGATTTTTTTAAGTTTAGTTAATCCAAGGTCAAAATTTGTGGATAACATGCAATGGATTTTTTGGTAAAAAAAATTATAAACTTTAAGGTAGCTTAAATGCTCTGGAAATACTTGTGCTCCCTCTCTAGTTAGGCGTAGAACTGTTTGATCACACAGGATGGTTCTGTAGAACAAATAGCTTTTGTAATTCCTCGTTGTGGGTTTTGTTTCTCTAGTCTGATGTGGAATTGCTGCAGTTGGACTAACTGGGTCACAAATCAGCAAGCAGTTGTGTTACATTGTGTTAGTATCTGGTACTTAAAATTCTGTTTCTGCTGTACCACATTGTGCCACTCTGGTCTAAGCTGAGGACTTAAAATTGGGGTGATGTCAGTCTTTCCCCCCCACCCCCTCTATTTTTTATTTCCCTTTCTAAACCAGCAAGTAATTATATAATTAATGATGTCTCACACAATTTCTAAACCACACAGTAGGTGTTGCAACTAGTGAATTAAGGCACCAGCCAGCACATCAACCAAAAAGAACCACTGCTAGTTTATTTGCTAGTTTATTGTCCAACCTGAAATACAAATAAGCATAAATGCTGAGAAGCAGCCCAGACTTTAACCTCTCAGTAGTGTTCCTGCAGTGAGTACTTTCAGCGTCTGACTGCCCTTTCTGATCTGCTGTACGAGGAGCCCCAGAGCAGCAGCTTCACACTCACAAGCAGTGGCGACAGGCGGGGTGTAGGTGAGCTGAGGTCTAAAGCAGCTGTTTCCTTTTCTCCCCCAGCGAAAACTGTCGGGGTGTTTGTTTAGGACGGCTCCATACAAGGTTGGGCCAAACCTATTTCTCGCCTGCCTGACCCATCTCCCTGCCGGTGCTTTCCTTTTGGAGGGCTAGTGCAGGGACCCTTCTGGGCCCCTCAGCTCAGGAAGGACAGGGAACTGCTTCTGCGTGGAAGAGTCCAGCGCAGAGCCACAGAGATGATGAAGGGAGTGGAACACTCCCTTCACACACATGAGGAAAGGCTGAGGAGCTGGGTCTCTTGAGCTTGGAGAAAGGGAGACAGAGGGGCGACCTGATCAGTGTTTACAAATACATTAAGGGGGAGTGTCAGGAGGATGGAGCCAGGCTTTTTTGAGTAATGTCCAGTGATAGGACAAGAGGCAACGGGTGCAAACTGGAGCATAGGAGGTTCCATGTGAATATCAGAAAGAACTTCTTCCCTGTGAGAGTGACAGAGCACTGGGACAGGCTGCCCAGAGAGGCTGTGGAGTCTCCTTTGCTGGAGACATTCAGAACCCGCCTGGACACGTTCCTGTGTGATGTGCTCTGGGTGACCCTGCTCTGGCAGGGGGTTGGACTGGGTGATTTTTTGAGGTCCCTTCCAACCCCCAGGACTCTGTGATTCCCGGGCACAGGAGGGGCCTCCCCGGGACCCCTCGGGGGGG